GGCAACTTCAAATCTCAACAAATAAATGCTCAGTCTTACATATTGGCAAAAAAAATCAGAAAATAAAATACAGGCTGAATAGTCAAGACCTTGTTGATGATCCAAGCTCTGTAAAGGACCTTGGAGTATTCATCTCTAATGATCTAAGTGCTAGAGCCCACTGTAACTACATAGCCAAAAAGGCATTAAGAGTTGTTAACCTAATCCTATGTAGCTTCTTCTCTGGTAATATCACACTACTAACTAGAGCATACAAAACATTTGCTAGACCAATACTCGAATACAGCTCATCAGTCTGGAACCCACAATTACGTATCTGATACTAGAAAGTCCAGAAATATTTCACAAGAAGAGTTCTCCACTCCTCTACTCGTTGTAGAATACCTTATGCCACCAGACTTGAAATTCTAGACCTAGAAAACCTTGAATTACGCCATCTTCGGTCCGATCTAAGTATAGTATATAAAATCATATATTGCAATGTCCTACCTGTCAATGAATACTTCAGCTTCAACCATAACAACACAAGAGCACACAATAGATACAAACTCAAGGTTAACCGCACCAAACTTGATTGCAGGAAATATGACTTCAGCAACAGAATGGTCAATGTCTGGAATACTCTACCTGACTCTGTGGTTTCTTCCCCTAACCCCAAAAACTTTAACCTTAGACCATCTACTATTGACCTCACCCCTTTCCTAAGAGGTCTGTAGGGGGCGTGCATAAGCGCACCAACATGCCTACCGCCCTGTCCTATTGTTTCTTTTATTTTTCTTATATGTACCCATTTCATGTATTCATAACTATGTATATACTTATACCTATTATCTTGTAAGCAATTGACAAATCAAATAAATAAATAAATAAAATAGAATCAAACACTCCTTCCCCATTTATATCGGGGGCATTTATACCAGCACCAGCTTCATTCACGTCTCAGTTCAGGCCAGTCTGTTTAGAAACTGTCAGGGCAAAATATTTCAAATTAAGAAGAAATGGGAGCTAGCATTCTGACCTAAATACATGTTTTAAGAATTTTGCTGAGTTTGGAGCGCAGGACAAACACCCACTGAAAATGATGCACGCCAAATCCACAACCACAAAGCTACATTTTGAAAAGTCTGGGTGTGCACCCCAAAACAATCCAGTTTTAAAACTCCACCCACATCTGACACAACATCCCTCTTGTTTTGGCTAAAAGGGTCCATCACACAAGATAATCCTAAAACAAAAAATCTCTCAAATCTTGGTCAATTAGTCCAAATTGGGTACAGGGAGTCCTTGGCTTATAATCATTAATATTAATCTTATAATCCTTTAATGACCATTTGCAAGTTATAGCAGCGCTGAAAAAAGTGACTTATGTCCGTTTTTTCACACTAATTGCTGGTCATATAATTAAAATTTAGATGCTTAGCAACTGGCATGTACTTATGACAGTTGCACTGTCCCCGAATCATGTGATCACCATGTGACCTTTCCCAGCCAGTTTCCAACAAGTAAAGTCAATGAGGGAAGCCAGATTCACTTAACAACTGTGTGACTCACTTAACGATTCCAGGGATTCCCTTAACAACTGTGGCAAAAAAAAGTCATAAAATGAGGCACAATTCACTTAACAATTGTCTGTTAAGTTGCCAATTTGTTAAGTTGGTGTTTTGTTGCTAATTGTCAACAATTAGCAACAAAAATGTGGGGCTCATTTGTGGTCATAAACCGAGGACCACCTGTAAAAGTAGGTTTTGTTTGCGGAACAACATACAAGCCCACAAACCCATCACAACAGGGACACTAAAACTGACTTAAAGTTTGCCATGTATGCTATATTTGAAAATCTCCCAGTTTTGCCCTGTAAAACAAAAATAAATGAAATGACCAATGCTAATTCTCATTCAGTGAGATTTGTTTTTATAATACAGTATAGGTAATCCTCGATTAACAACCACAATTGAGTCCATTGTTAAGACAGTCGTTAAGTGAATTGTGCTCCATTTTAGTACCTTTCCTGCCACAATTAAGTGAATCACTGCAGCTGTTAGTAACGTTGTTAAGTGAATCTGGCTTTCCTATTGACTTTGCTTGTCAGAAGGTCATTAAAAGGGGATCATATGACCCTCGGACACTGCAACCGTCATAAATATGAGTCCATTGCCAAGCGTCTGAATTTTGATCATGTGACTGCAGAGATGGTTGTAAGTGTGAAAAGGGGTTGTAAGTCACTTTTTTCAATGCCATTATAACTTCAAACAGTAAGAAACCCCGTACATTGTTTCACATGTGGTGGACCTGCCCAAAAGCGAAGGAATTCTGGAATAAGATAAAGATCTGATTACAGGAAATAACAAATTTAAAGATAGTACCCAAGCCTGAAATCTTTTTTACTAGGGATAACTAAAGGTGAATATGTAAAAGAGATAGAATGTTTAATGATACATATATTAACAGTGGCTAGGATATTATATGCTCAAAATTGGAAATTAGATAGTACCCCCCCAGATGACATGATTATAAAAAAAAGTAATGGATTGCACAGAAATGAACAAATTCACAATGGAGAGGGAAGAAAAAGAATATTATACTGCCTGGGAAAAGTGGTATGTCTGGTTAGACAACAGAAAGAAAACAGAATGCAAAAGTAAAAGTGTTAAAGTATAATTGTAAATAGTGTGTGTGCGTATATGTATGTATGTATGTATAGCAGAATGGAATAACTGATATCACAAACAACTGCAAAAAATGTATATAGAATTTGTTTTTAAAGGTGAAAATTTAATAAAATATAATTTTAAAAAATAACTTCAAACAGTCACTAAATGTAAATGTTGTAACTTGAGGATGACCTCAAGTTATGGCCATTCGTATAGTGACTGTCCCAAATTAAAACATGGCTGAAGCAAGGGATTTATGACCAATCCTTAAAGCTTGATACATGCGTTTTGCTCATGAAGGGGAAAAAAATTGGGGACTTTTAAAGACTGAAGCAATAGCTCTCCTCATGTGACCAAGCCCTATAGCTGGTCCAACAGTGGTTTATAAACAATGCACATTTGGCAAGGGTTCGTGGAACAAGCCAAAATCCAAATAACGCTGCTTGGATGTTGAAATGTTGCAATATGGGGTTCAGATCACACATAATATTTCAATTAGCCAACTTAAGTCTAGAAACGCAGGCAGTCTTTATTTTTTTTGGGGGGGGGGTGTTTGCAAATGCAGAAAAGCCGACTTTCTCACTAAACCATGATTCAATCAATGAGGATTAAGTTTGTTGGACTGCAAAGCTGTGCTGGCTATTTCTTTCCATTGGGAAAGCTATCAAAATGGTGTCTTTTTTTTCCAACCTTGGGTATTTTATGAGGTATGGACTTCAACTCCCAGAATTCCCCAGCCAGCTGGCTGAGGAATTCTGGGAATTGAAGTCCACCCATCTTAAAGTTCCTAAGATTGATAAATGCCACCACAAAACTTTTTCCCAGAACTTTTCCCCCCAAATTTTTTCCACAGTTATAAGCCCAGAGTTCAGATCCTTCCCTCTGCCTGGCTGAGCATTCACACAACCTGCACGCAATCCTCTCCCCACACAAGACAACAACAGCCAAGCTGGTTCTTCTTCACCTAAGGCTTGCCACTTCTGCATTGTCCCACAAACCAGCCCTTAAGTTCATTCCGGGTCTTATGCAAAGTCAGAAAAGGGGTTTTATTCGGGAAAGCAGATTCAGCGTGTCCTGTGAATGCAGCCCTTGCTGGGGAGGGGAGGGGGAAAGGGGTTTTATTTTGTTAGAAAGTGGGGAGACACGAAGCAGCCTTCAAACCAGAAGAGCAGGGATGCTGGGTTTGTTTGCCCCAATGCAAGGGGGAGCATTTCCCCCACTCCAACCCCCCCCCCCCCGCCCAGCTGGTATCAATAAAAAGAGGCGGCAGCAATACAAGAAATGACGAATAAGGCTCCACACCAAATTGGTAAAGTATGAATTTCTCAGAAAGTTTTCCTTCCCCAGGAATGCAAACCAGGACCAAAGAGAGGTGGGGAGGAACACATTTACCAGGAAGAAAACCCCCAGGGAAAAAAAAAAGTCCTGGGAAGGAAGGGAGGGAGGGAGGGAAGGAAGGAAAGGAAGGAAGAGAAGGGAGGAAAGGAAGGGGGGAAAGGAAGGAAGGGAGGGAGGGAGGAAGGAAGGAAGGAAGGGAAGGAGGAAGGAAGGGAAGGAAGGAACAGAAGGGAGGAAAGGAAGGAAGGAAGGAAGGGAGGAAAGGAAGGAAGGGAAGGAAGGGAGGGAGGGAGGGAGGAAAGGAAGGAAGGAAGGAAGGAAGGAGGAGAAGGGAGGAAAGGAAGGAAGGGAAGGCAGGCAGGAAGGAAGGAAGGCAGGAAGGAAGGAAAGGAAGGAAGGAAGGAAGGAAGGGAAGGAGGAAGGAAGGGAAGGAAGGCAGGCAAGGGAAGGAAGGGAGGAAGGAAGAGAAGGCAGGGAGGGAGAGGGGAAGGAAGGAAAGAAGGAAGGAAGGCAGGCAGGGAGGGAAGGAGGAAGGAAGGGAAAGAAGAGAACGAAGGAAGGAAGGAAGGAAGGAAGGAAGGAAGGAAGGAAGGAAGGGGGCTTAGAACAACTTTAAGGGGAGCAGAAGAAGAGAGTAAAACTTTTCCCACCCCTACATTTTTTTTAAAAAGGCAAAGAAAAAAGCAGGAGAAATGATTGCTAAGGGGACTCAGATCAGTCAGTCAGTCAGGCCATCAATCAATCAGCCCGCCAATCTATCCATCAGCCACCCACCCAATCAATCAGTCAGTATCAATCTATCATTCAGACAATCCATCCATCCATCGAACGGCCCGTCTTTCAGAGGAGAGATGCAAAGCCGAAAAGCCCTCCCGGGCTCTGGAGCCTGGACCCCACTTTCCCCATTGCATTCAGGGAGGTCCCAACTCGGAGCCAGGCTGGGGAGCGGGGGGCGTGAGAAAGAGGGGCTCTCTCCTCTCTGGTCCCGCGTGGAAGGGGGGGGCTCCTTACCGACCACCAGGCACAGCACATCCAGCGCCACGAACAACTTGGTGCGCTCCATCGCGCTGCGCCCGCCGCTTCTGCGATCCACAGGCTCACATCGCGCAAGCAGCCCGGCGAAAGACGAGCCCCAGCGCCGCCGCCGCCGCTGCTGCAGCTTTGGAAGGGAGGAAGCCGAGAGGCGGAGCCGGCCCGGTGGGTGAGATCGACCGGGGTGGGGTGTGGGGGGGAAGCACCGCCCTCGCCTCGCTTCTCGCCTTCGGGGTGAGGCGAAGGGCCGGGCTTAAGTCGCTCCAGCGGGGCGTGCTCGGAGCATGTGCAGAGTGCCTCGCTCTTGCGACCCGCAATTTGGGCTCAGCCGACACAGCCACCACCACCCCGCCCCGCCCCGCCCCACCTGTTGGAAAGGAGCCGTGGGCGGAAGGCTCTCGAGGAACTCGGATTCCTGAGCACGTCAAGAGTGACGTGGATTTCAGGGAGGAAGGACAGGATGGGATAGGATAGGATAATTGGAAGGGACCTTGGAGGTCTTCTAGTCCAACCCGGTGCTTAGGCAGGAAACCCTACACCACATCAGACAAATCGTTATCCAATGTCTTCTTTAAAACTGGATAAAAACCAGTATTAAGCAGTTTCTTTTCCCCAAACTAACAGAATAATTGAGTTGGAAGGGACCTTGGAGGTCTTCTAGTCCAACCCTTTGTTTAGGCAGGAAACCCCCCATGTGCCATTTCAGACAATCTCTTCTTAAAAACTTCCAGTGATGGAGCATCCACAATTTCTGGAGGCAAGCAGTTCCACTGGTTAATTGTTCTAACTGCCAAGAAATTCCTCCTTAATTTTCCAGGTTGCTTCTCTCCTTGATCAGTTTCCACCCGTTGCTTCTTGTCCTGCCTTCTGATGCTTTGGAGAAAAGCTTGACCCACCCTTCTTTGTGGCAACCCCTTAGATCAAGGGTGTTCAAACTTGGCAAGTTTAAGACCTGTGGACTTCAACTCCCAGAATTCCTGAGCTAACATGACTGGAGGAGGAATTCTGGGAGTTGAAGTCCGCAGGTCTTAAAGCTGTCAAGTTTGAAAACCCCTGGTCTAGCATAGGGTCTTCAATGTCGGCCATTTTAAGACTTGTGGACTCCAACTCCCAGAATTCCTGAGCTAACATGACTGGAGGAAAAATTCTGGGAGTTGAAATCTGCAAGTCTTAAAGCTGTCCCGCCTTAAATATTGGAAGACTGCTGTCATGTCTCCCCTAGTCCAAATGAGACCTATCCAGTTCCTGCAACCGTTCTTCATGTGTTTTAGCCTCCAGTCCCCTAAGAACAGAGAATTTTCTTTCTCCCTCCAGCCCAACAGATCTGGTGGTCATAAAGCAAGGACTGAGGCTTCCCCCACACAACCCTTTCTAAACCGCTTTCTAAAGTGCCTTGTAGGCCAGACAAGGAATAATGGATGGAAACTGAACAAGGAGAGATTCAACCTGGAAATAAGGAGAAACTTTCTGACAGTAAGGACAATCAACCCATGGAACAGAAGTTGCCTTCGGAAGTTGTGGGAGCTTCATCCCTGGAGGCTTTCAAGAAGAGATTGGATGGCCATTGGTCAGAAATGGTGTAAGGTCTCCCCCTTGGGTGGGGTGGGGGTTGGACTAGATGACCTACAAGGTCCCTTCCAACTCTGATTATCTGTTATCTGTTACCCTTTCTCTCTTCTGCTTTGATTGTTGATTTTGTTACAGGTAGTCTTCAACCTACGAGCACAACTGAACCCCGACATCTCAGTGGCTAAGCGAGACATCGCGTGTCTATTTTGCCCCGTTTTATGACTTTTCTTGCCACGGTGGTTAAGTGAATCGCATTGTTTCAGGTTGTAACACGGTTGTTAAGTGAATCTGGCTTCCCCTTTGACTTTGCTTGTCTCAGGAGGTTGCAAAAGGGATCATGTGACCCCCAGGACACTGCAACCATCATAAATACGAATCAGTTGCTCGTCAGAAGGTCAGAAATGTGGAAAACGTGACCCTGGCACGCTGCAACCGTCATAAATGTGAGTCAGTTGCCAAATGTCTGCATTTTGATCACGTCACCCACGGGAAGGCTGGTATGGCCGTAAGTGTGAAAAAACGGTCCTAAGTCTCTTTATTCGGTGCCGTTGTAACTCCGAATGGCCACTAAGCGGTACTGTTGTAAGTGGAGGACGATCTGTATAAGTGCTTGTGAAGGAGAAAATTTTGTTTTAATCATGATTTCAAGACAATTTGGGGATCTCCATTGTGGGAGCCCCTGCGATGTTCCTCCTCCTTTCTTCTTCTTCCGATTGCAGGGAAGGAAGGGTTCCCACCAGGTGATCCACAAAGAATCATCCCCACTCAAAAGGGGAATATTTGTGGCTCTGGATCGAAATAAGGATCCTTGGTACTCTCTGACCTTCCTTGTTTTCTCACAGACATTTCATTACCCTAAAGTGGTAACATCATCGGGGCTAGTCAAACCTACACTAGTAATAAACTAGTCTGGGTAACCTAGTTTGATGTAACCTAGTTTGAGTAATGAACTGTCTACAAGAAAACAAACAAGCTCAGAGATGCCTCTTCGAAATGGGGAACAGAATAATTCGGAGCAGACACGCTCTTCCACTTTGCTCCTCAGAAAAGAGGAAGGTGAGAACTGACAAAGGATTTCTTATTAGCATCCCTTTGATTTTGATCCGGTCCAATCCTGTAGCATTCTGGTAGATGGGGGGGTGGGGACAACTCTCAGCAATCAAGAGCATGTGCAGAGTGCCATGCCTTCCTGAGGGAAAGTCCCACAGAATTTTAAAGTCATAAATAAAATAAAATAATAAAACAACATATAAATAAAACAACATATAAATAAAACAACATATAAATAAAACAAAATACAAATAAAAAAAATACAAATAAAACAAAATACAAATAAAATAATAAAATGTAAATAAAATAATAAAATGTAAATAAAAT